AAAAAAAAAAAAAAAAAAAAAGAAGATCTGGGAAGTCTCCCTTTGGTGAGAGGACCCCAAAGCTCCCTTGTGGCCCTGAGCCTCTCCCACTCAGTGCTGATATCGTGGGGCCCAGGTGTTCCCTCGAGAGCATTCCCATACCAGGAGGTCAGCCACAGCTGTCTGCACCACTGCGTTTCCTGCTCTCTGGGGTCTGACAGCAACTAATGGGTCTCTGTGTTGCCTTCCAGGACAGCTGTGAACTCCCATTCGGGGGTGTGCACCCCAGCAGGGGGCCTGGTGACAGGTGAGCGCCCCCATGCACTGTGTTCCCCTTGTGCCTGGGCAGAAAGATGGGAGGAAAGGAGAGGAGGGAACCATGGTGCAGCGGGCTCTGGTGCACAGCTGGGCCCCCGAGTGTGGGGGCTGGCACCTCCCACGTGGGCTTTTCCCTTGCTGAGTGGAGGTCGGGGAGGTCAAGGGCCACCGGGTCACCTGACACCCCTGCACCCCCGCAGGAGTCCTGGTGCTGCTGTCACTGGACTACCTGACCTCGCTCTTCTTCTACATCCCGAAGTCTGCCCTGGCCGCCGTCATCATCATGGCCGTGGCCCCCCTGTTTGACACCAAGATTGTGGGGACGCTCTGGCACGTGAAGAGTATGTACTTCTTCCTCAGTCAACATGGAGGTTATCAATTATTCCCCAGCCGTCTTCCCGGAGCCACGGTGGCAGGGTTGGAGCTGGGAGGTTAGCGTAGTTCTGGAAGGTGTCACCGCCGGGCCGAGGGTCAGGTTGCCGGAAAGGGGGGCTTCCATCAGCTCCTCAGGCCTGCAAGAGCACCCTGGACCAGCTCCACACAGTGCTGAGTGCGTCTGCCACACGCTGGTCTCTCCTCCCCCTCCTCCCCTCCGCCCTCTCTCCCATCCCCATCTCCTCCTCCTGGTCACCTACCTGCCTTTGGTGGCCCCGTGCTCCGTAGCCCGGCTGGGGAGAGATGGGAGACGTTCCCACAGGGTCCAGTGTAACAGCCTCCCTTTCTCTTCCGGTCACAGTGCAGTGGCTCAAGGATTCCCTGGACCTGCAGTTCCTTTAATGCAACAGGTTTCGGTTTTTTTGGTTTCTCGTCAGCCCCGCAAGATACCCAGTGAAAGGAAACGCAGTTTGATTGGAAACGCAGTTTGATTGTGTACCTGATATGTGCGGGGTCTCTCCGTAAATCATTGTGTCTGATGTTTGAAACCGTGCCATGTGCCTCAGTTAACATGCTGTGTGGGACATAGCAGATGCCACTGACGGATGCTGAGGCCCAGGGCGCATGGGGCCTTGTCTGCGACGTGTGTTGGTGGTTGACTCTGGGGTGACCCCAAACCCGCCCACTTTGCCCCAGGACACCTCCTTCTGCAGCTCAGAGAAGTCATGTGTCTCAGCCAAGTCACAAGGTCTCTGAGGGGTTTTGTGACTTCCCTTGCCCCCTTGTCCCAGGCCTGGTCCTGTCCCCAAGTCCCTTTTTAGTCCCCTGAGAAGTGCCCTCTGTGGCCTCCTCCACAGGGCATGGGGCCCGGGCCTGGCTAGGCAAGTCTTAATGGCCCCTCGGTCCAGGCAGGGAGGGATTTTCTGCTCTGACATGTCCCTCAGTTGGCATGGCCGTCAGCAGCATCAGTCCCCGAGTCCCCAGACGGAGGTCCCTCGGGTGCTGCTTGGGGTGTGTGACACCTTTACTCGTTACGTGAAAAGCCATGAGTCAGTCATCTGCTGGTCGGAGGGCCTCAGAGGTGTCTGGAAGCCGAGCTCGCCGAGGAGGGGCTACCTCTCAGCTGGACCCCTCTCTCCCAGGGCTGGACTTGCTGCCCCTGTGCGTGACATTCCTGCTCTGCTTCTGGGAGGTCCAGTACGGCATCCTGGCAGGGACCCTGGTGTCCATGCTGATTCTCCTGCACTCCGTGGCCAGACCCAAGATGCAGGTAGCAGCCCGTGTGGCTGCCCTGAGAGGGGGAGCCGCTGGCCCCGGGGCATGGTGGGGTGAAGTGTGCCGTGAGCAGGACCGTAGGGGCTCCATTGTCTTGCATTCTGAGCTGTTGGTGTGATTGTGGCCCTCGGCACTGCAAGTGACCGCTCATCTACGGGTATCACCCTCGAGTCGTAAAGCACAGTGCTGTCCCGCTGCGCGTGGGGCCGTGGGGGGCCAGGCTCGTGCCAGCTTTGCACTCCCCATCCCCCAGTCCTGGCACAGCTGCCCTGTCGGACCTGCCTCCAGGACTCACTGGCGTCCCCCTGCCATCCCCAGGTGTCCGAGGGGCCAGTGCTTGTCCTGCAGCCGGCCAGCGGCCTGCACTTCCCTGCGGTCGAGGCCCTCCGGGAGGTGATACTCAGCCGAGCTCTGGAAGGTACGTGGACCAAGGCAAGGTGGGCTGCAGTCACCCTGAGTCCCCCACCACCCTCTCTGCACCCCAGCCTGGCTCCCACAGGACCCCAAGGCCCTGCCCTCAGCTGTCAGGGAGGAGCTCACCACTCTTGGGGCCAGGAGGTCTCGGAGTGTCTCAGAGCAGCGTCCAGTGGGTGCCTGCAGTCTGCGTCCCCAATGTTTATCTTTAAAGACCCACTCTTTCTTCTGAGGAGTTGGTATTTAGGGGAAAAAGGGGTCTGTCTGCCCTTTGAAGGAAATAGCTGCTACTGTCCCCAGACAGCTGTTGTCTCAGGTGCAGCCACCCTGTCCCCTCTCTGCTGGGGGCCGGAGCTCTCGATGGCCTCATTCTCCCCCGTGCCTCTGGCTACAGCCTTTTCTGGTCCCCTCCTCCGGGTGTGACCCTTCTGACGCCTGTCCCCCCAGCATCCCCTCCGCGCTGCGCGGTCCTGGAGTGCACCCACATCTGCAGCATCGACTACACCGTAGTGCTGGGGCTCGGGGAGCTCCTGGAGGACTTCCACAAGCAGGGCGTCACCCTCGCCTTCGTCGGCCTGCAGGTAGGTGAGCCCGGGGCTGCTGCCCACCTGACAGTGGAGCCGTGGTTCAAAGGGAGGAGAAGGTCCCCATGTGAAGGTGACATTGTTGGACTGTGCCACCATCCTGTGCAGGGCCCGGCCCCTCTGCTGGCTCTGGCCTTACTTCTGATCTAGCTGTTCCTGTCCCATTGGCCCTTCCACCTCCCTCCCTGTGAGATGGGGCGCCACGGCCCCTGCCCTTGAGGGAACGCGTACGTGGCCTCGCTTCCCAGGGGTCGGTGCTGGCCAGTGTCCGCAGCGTGCACCTCTCAGGGCTGGGGGTGCATGATGAGCGAGAGCTGGTACCTATTGTCAGGGAGCTTGTATTTGAGGAAGGAAAAACAGACGTGTCAGTACAGAAATGCACACAAAAAAGTGTTGTGGGGCTTCAGGAGGCTTAAGAGAACAGGTTCCCGGTGGAGACTACTGATGGGGGTGACGGTGGAAATACTGGTGAGATCTGTTGGAATCCACTTCCTGAGCTCTCCGAAGCGCCTGAGGCTGTTCCAGACAGCGTTTGTGCTTTTCCTGTGGGGTTCAAATACTCCAAGAGCACAGTGGCAGATGCTGCTCCCTGGGAGGGGCGGCACGGGCTGGGGTTGATAGCAGGACTCCTAGCTCCCCGAGCCTGCAAGTGTGTCTGGTTGGCAGCGATGCATGGTTGCTGTCTGCATTGTGCTTAAATGCCACTTCCCTTTATACTCTACACATGGCACACGGGGCCTGAAGCACATCCCACAGCCTCTCTGGAGAGGCGTCTGTGAACTAATTGTGAAGCAAGGCACCTAGCGGAGCCCAGGGCTATGGGCATTGGTAACGGCTGGCACTTACCAGAGTTTTATTCACTATCAGACCAGCCTGTGAGGTCGGTATCATCGTCATCCCCATGTTGGGATGAGGACACCAGGGCCCAGGGAAACTGAGTAACCTGCCCAGGGTCACACAGCAAGGGTGGTGCACTGGGCTTCTCACGGGGGGTGTCTGGCTGCAGAGCTTTGCTCTAAGCATGACATTCTGTGTCGTATCTGCAGAGCACTTGTCTTTGTGTCCTTTGGAGAGTATTCGTTTAAAAAAAATATTCCTCTTACAGCGTTTCCCAGAGGCAGGGACTCTTCTGTCTGCTTCCCTGAGTGGAAGAAAGTGGTACCTACCTGGAGATCTTAGAGAGCCTGTGACGGGGCCAGAGGGCGGTGGACCTGGGGGCCCACAGCGGCCCGCCTGCCCTGGTGTGCTACAGCAGGATCGTCCTTGCCTAGAACTAACGTTTGTCTGTCCCCCAGGTCCCTGTTCTCCGTGTCTTGCTGTCTGCTGACCTGAAGGGCGTTCAGTACTTTTCCACACTGGAGGAAGCAGGTGGGTACAGGCAGAGGCATTGAAGGGAGCCGAGACAGCCCACGTGCGCACCGTCTGCGGGATCAGGATGGCAGGACAGAAACTCTGGGAAACAGGAGGGCTGGAGTCTGAGAGTGGGTAGTGCGAGGATGATGGCTGAGGCAGTGGGCACGTTGTCAGGGCCCTCCTGCCCTGGGGTTTTATTTTTTAGGGGGTTGTGTGTGTGTCTTTAATTGAGGCACAGTTTACATACAGTGAAATGCACAGATCTTAAATGTGCAGTTTGAGTTCTGACAGGTGGATACAGCTGGATGTATAAGGATGTAGAACATTTCCATCCTTCCCGAAAGTTTCCTCATTCCGTCTTCCAGGTGGTTACCACTCAGGGTAACCACTGTTCTCATTTCTCCCACCGTAGTTCACCGTAATTTTAGCCTCTTCTAGAACTTCATATAAATGGAGTCATAAGGACTTTTTGTGTCTGGCTTCTTCAGTTCAACATGGTGTCTGTGAGATTCACCCATGTTGCTGCTAGAAGCGGCTCAGACGCCGATCCACAGAAGATGGATGAACCAGTTGTGGCCCAGCTGTACGAGGAAACTCACCCAGCAATAAGAAAGGGTTATAGTGGTATGGAAAGGGATGAAGAGCTGAAAAAGACTTAGGCGAAACTCAGCCCAAGGTTGGGAATGCCGGCCCAGGGGACCCTCAACTTCCTGTGTGCTTAGGACCCTGGGATGCCGGCCTTTAATCCCATTCTCTGAACTGATCTGTTCTCAATTCCACTTTTGTAGTGTTTGAAAACCTTGTATTTTCTGCAGAGAAATACCTGAAGCAAGAACCAGGGACCCAGCCCTACAACATCAGTGAAGATTCTGTTCCAGAACACAAGGTTGCCCTGTTGAAGGCCTGATTGGGCCACCGATGGGTGACTGATGTTTGGAGAGTCTCGCAGAAGGTTCTTGTCCCTACGACGCCAGATGCTGCCTTGTAAATGCGCTGGCCTGAGGGGTTGAGAACGCCTGAGCAGGTGATCTGGAGGAGGAAGAAGGCAACTAGGCGTCGAAATCCACAGGCGGGACTCATTGGCTTCCTTTGTGTGACTGGAAAGTTATCTCCTTACTCTTCCTTGGACATGAACCCTGTATTTCCACCGTCACCCCCATCTTCCTTTTTGGAAGAGTGGTTTGGAGAGAGCCTTCTGGAGTGACAGACCCCATGAGAAAGGAAGGAACAGGGACTTCAGTCTGGTCTAGGAGAGGAGTCCTTGAGCCCTTGCACCTTCCTGGATTTCAGACCAAGAGTAGGGGAGTGTGGGCATCTTGGAGATGGGTTCCGATGTTGATGGCGGCGTCTGTGCTGTTGTTGCAGAGAAAACCAAGGTGTGCCAAGTGACTTAAAGTGTCTGTTAAAAATAATCTTGTTGTTTGTGGTTTTTAAATTTAAAAAGTAATAGCTTTGGTGATTTTGTAAAAGTCATAAATGCTTATTGTATAAATTGCAGGAAACCATCCCCCCAATCCACTTTGATGTTAGTTCCAGACCCCCTTCCTCCCGTATACGAACATGTCTTCATGGGGGTGTGTGTTCACAGTCTTATGTGAATGGATCGTTTCATACGTGGTGCTCTGTAACCCACATTTTCAAGTGGTCATTGCTGTGAATTACTTATTGTGATAATAAATGGAAAATACATGATTTTTAATGGCTACCTGGTGTTTTATTCTGTGTACGGGTCACAGGTTACTTAGCTCTCTGCAGACGGACTTTGCCTGTTCCGCAGGTGCGTGCATGTTTTAAGTTTCATATCAGTCATCTTTAGAGGTAAACCCTTGCACATCTTAACCATGGAACACACAAACTGTGGACGGTTGTGTGGCAGTTAAAGGAATGAGGTGGAGTATATGTACTAACAGACTTTTGAGTGAAAAAAGCAAGTTGCAGAGTGAACCCGTTTTAAGATACCGTTTGTGTAAATACACCCACTAAATGATTCTATGACGTATGTTTGAGTTAAAAAAAAAGTTCTGGAAGTATACGCATCAAAGTGATTACTTCTTGGTGTTATACTTCTTGGGTTGATTTTAACCGTATCTTTATGGTTTAATTTTTCAATACATTCATGTATTTGCTTATAATTGAACATTAATTTAAAAAAAGAGATAAGTGCCTGGAAGGAGTTTGGAACTTGGTCTCAGAAGATGCAGGGCTGCGCTGCACCATCATCCTGCATCAGCCAGACAAGCTCCCCCGAGCCTCGGTCTATAGGCTGGGACCCATGTCACTTTGTTGACGATACAGTTGATTAAACCTTCCTCACCCATTGGCTGCTGTGGTGCATACAGCTGACCTACAAGGTAACGAGGTCACCAACACCATCACAGTTCCCAGTTTCGTTTGTACTGAGTATGGCTATGTGACTGAGATCGAGTCAGTGGTGTCTCTTGTGGGTTGAATTGTGTCCCCCCAAAATTCATATGCTGAGTCCTACCCCCAGTCCCCCTCAGAATGGGACCTTATTTGGAAATAGAGTCATTGCAGATGTGATTAGTTAGGAGGAGTTCATACTGGAGTAGGGTGGGCCCTAATCCAACATGGTTGTGTTCTTATAAAAAGACGAGGTTTGGGACAGACATGCACACAGGGAGAGCGCTGTGTAAACACGAAGGCAGAGACTGGAGTGATGCTTCTACAAGCCAAGGAATGCCAAAGATCACCAGCAAACCACCAGAAGGTGGAAGAGAGGCTGGAACAGGTTCTCTCTCACAGCTCCCAGAAGGAACCAACCCTGGTGACAGCTTGATCTCAGACTTCCAGGCTGCAGAACTGTGAGACAGTAAATTTCTGTTGTTTAAGCTGTCCAGTTTGTGGTACTTTGTTACAGCAGCCCTAGGAGCTAATGTGGTACGTGAGAAGTGTGTGTGCCATTTCTAAGCCTGGCCAGTGAAAGCCTTCCACGTTCGCTCCTCCAAGCTCTTTCCCCCTTTCTGGCTGGCAGGCACGGAGATGATCTCCTGGGTGCTCTTGGAAGCCACATATTGAGAATGGCAGGGTTTGGGTCAACCGGAGTGGAAGAGGGCACCTGCTGAGCTATACACCGACCAGCACTGTTACGTGGGCAAGAAGCAAACTCTGAATGACCACTTCTTACTGCAGCCAGTGGAGCCCTGACTGTACAGACGATGATGTAGAACAGGGCTGTCCAACAGAAACGCAATGCCAGCCTCACATGGGAGCCACATGTATCGTTTTAACATTTCTAGTAGCTGTATTAAAAAATTCAAAGAGGGGCTGGCCTGGTGGTGTAATGGTTAAGTTCGCGCACTCTGCTTCCGCGGCCCAAGGTTCACAGGTTTGGATCCTGGGCGCAGACCTATGCACTGCTCATCAAGCCATGCTGTGGCAGCGTCCCATGTACAAAATAGAGGAAGATGGGCACAAATCTTAGCTCAGGGCCAATCTTCTCATCAAAGAGAGGAGGATTGGCAACGGATATTAGCTCAGGGCTAATCTCCGTCCCCACCAAAAAACCCAAAAAAGTAAAAAGAAACTGGTGAAGTTAACATATATTTTTTATTTAACCCATTACATCCAAAATAAATCTTTACAATGTGTAATCCATGTAAATCTTATTAATGAGATATTTTACATTATTTTTCTCATACTAAATCTTTGAAACCGGTGTGAATTGTACACTCAGCATATCTCAGTTCGAACCAGCCACGTGTCGAGTGCTGAGTGCCACATGTGGCTGCTGTATGGGACCACACAGATTTAGAATGTTCAAATCTAAAATGGTTGGTGTCTTGACATGAGTACAGCCATGTTTGGCCGCTCCGTTGACCTACAGCCACCAGCACAAACAGAAATACAAAGCTGCTTTCTGTGTGGTGGGAACTGGCCCTTCTCCCACATAGAGAGTTGCAAGTTGTAACATTTCAAGGCTCTTGGAGCGTCGTTGCACGGGATGGACTGGCCATCTGTGCCGGGCTGGGACGATAACCAAAGAGAACAATGCATGTACACAACTACTGGGCTGGGACGTTAGCCAGGGGGCTCAGTGCACGTACGCCACTGATAACCATTTTGTGCATGGGAACACTAGATGCTTGCTCTGCAAACTCTGTAATTGCTTACTCTGAAAATTACTGATGGTATAAAAACTGCTGGAAACTGAGCCCTAGGGAGAGTTCCACCTGTGGAAGGGACACCTTGCCCAGGACGTGTGATCCTTGCCCAGCCGCGTTGATTGACACGGCTCTCCCGGCAGTGGGGCGTGGATGTTGTGAGTAACTGATTTGATGTGAAGTAATTGATTTGATATGAAGTAATTGATTTGATATGAAGTAATTGATTTGATGTGTTCTCTTTTCGGTCAACCTGGTGTTTCTCTTTCCGGTTGATTTGTGTCATTTCTCTTCAGCCGATGTGGGTGTTTTCCCTTTCCAGTCGGGCTGATGTTTTTTCCCTCTTAATATTTGACCTATTTGATCTGTTTGCAGACTGTCGCCTTTACTATCCTCTATATAATAAAATATACCTTCAGTCCATTTGTTTGGAGTGGAAAGTGTCTTTTACGTCTCCAATCGAATCCCCGAACCTCTCATAACAGTTGGGAAGCCACAAGTTGTTTTGACCTTATGCCTGTGTTTGTCTCCACTCAAACTCTGGAGGGAGTTGTAAGAAACTCTGAGAGTCGTGGCAGAGGAGGCAGCGTGGTGTCGTGGGCTCAGAGAGAACTGTGTTTGAGTCCAGGTTGTTCCATTTCTCAAGGCGTGACATTGGGTAGATTGTCTAATGTCTCCGACCCTTAATTTCCACATCCTCCAAATGGTCGTTGCTCAGATTAAATTGAGGATGGGGTAAAGGCCTGGTGTGTAGCAGGCACTTAATTAGTAGTCGCTGCTGTTATGAATCGACCTCCCCACATTGTTCTCTCTTCCACCCTCCCGTGTTCTCACCCATCTCGCTCTCCCACACGAACTGGATGTCTCATGCACGTCAGGCAGCTCACCCTCCAGGTCTGGCTTCATTTACAACGTGCATCTCTGGAGAAGTTGCCCCGCCAGGAAGATGCTTGATGCAGAACCCTGATGATGGAGACAGGGAGGTTGGACGTTAGGGTGGAAGGGAAAGGATTTAACTCAGGCTGCAATGCCAGCATTGTGTTACTCCCCTGCCCCAGCAATCCATTTACCTGAAAATGAAACGGCAGGGGATCCAGTGTGACTGCTCTGTCACGCCCGCTCTGCAGCTTGAAGCCGCCCTGGAGCAGTGCCCTCAGTGCCACTAGCCCTGTGAGAAGGCAGCTGTAGGCTCTGTGGCCATGTCCCCACAGGCCCCACGCCTAGTGAGGCCTCCTTGTGGGCAGGGGTGGCTGGGGATGCTCTGCAAGCTAACACAGGGAGCAGTGGGCATTCCGTTAGTGCTGGAGTGGGGCAGGGACCTCCGTCTTTCTTTAAAAGAAAGTCTGCCTGGAGCCAGCCTAACCTGAAAGGGAGCAGCAAACCCTTCTCTGACTGAAGCATGATTATTTTTATAAAATCTGTTTTGTGTGGATCTCTCAACTCTTTCTAAATTCAGCTACTGATGCTGGCAAAGAGCCTATTTTCCCTCCTTTTTAAAATAATTGTAATCCTCTAGAAGGACCCAAGTTTGTGTCTTCATAGAGGATCTGACAAAACCTGTGGCCCTGGTGTCTGCAATGGGTTGAACTGTGTCCCCTAGAAAGACACATTGAATTCTTGGTCCTAGGTACCTGTGACTGTGAACTTATCTGGAAATAGGGTCTTTGCAGATGTAACGAGTGGAGTTCAGATGATGTCACACTGGATTAGGGTGGACCCTAAATCAATGGCCGGTGTCCTTATGAGAAGAGAAGACAGAGACACACGTGCAGGAGAACGCCTTCCCGGGAGCCACGACATCAGCCAGTTCCATTCTCCTTCTCAGTCCTGCCCCCACCCCGCTTCCACACATATGGAACCACACATATGGTTCCTAAATAAGCAAGGAACCATAGTTCTTTTTCCTCAAGGGCTGCTCTCTGTCTGTGCAGCCTGCAGCCCAAGGTAGCTGAGCCCATTGGGCGC